CCATTTGATGAGTGGATGAACTACTTCACCAAATCCAGGCACGGCCTGTAAGAAGCCCAGCATGGAGGTTATTGGCTACACAGCGGCTATTCGGATGCCTGTCCTGCAGTGCCACCACGTGGTCTCCACAGGGGTTGCCACTGCCCACACTAACAGGTACAAAACATTCCGGAGAAACAGGTTCCTGCCCTATTCCCCCACTATTCTCAATCCTTCAAAGATATGTGAAAAAACAAAACAAAAACATTGTTTTCAAAAAAAATCTGTGCAATGCTCTGCGAGCCAGTATCACCTACTCTCCAAGTTCCCAAAGTACCGAAGAGGGGAATTTTCCTCTGTTCCTCCAGGAGCTCCCCTCAGGCAGCCCTTCTTCCCCAGAATTCCCTCTGGAAGACCCAGCAAGGAATATCCAAGTGATCCCTCCCTGCTGGTGATGCAAACAGGTCTCTCCAGCACCAACCCTGAGCTGAGATACTACCCCTGAGGTTTGTTAGCTTCTTGTTGATTCCACAGTGTTCCTTGGGCTTGTCTCATATTCTCTGCTCCCTGTGTTACTGCCTTCTTAGTCTGAGCTTCAAGGGCCACCGGAAGCCTTGCACAGCCCTCCGGCACCTCAGCCCTCTGGCGCCTCTGCCTGTAACTCACCGATGCCTGCCTGCGTTCTGCCGGTAGCTCACCAGTAGGAACTGCATCTGACCCCTGAGTGCGTATGTCATTTTCAGCTGTGGCTCACACTTCGTGCTCCCTGGGCTCTGCTGACCAGAGCCATGAGTCAGCGTGCACCCGTGAGCGTCACCACACACCTAGATGGCTTGGTTGTGCACCCGTGCACCTAGATGGCTTGGTGACAGGGAAGGGCTTGTTTGAAGCCAGTGCCCCCTCCCTCCAAGCTTCACCAGCTAGCTGTAAACTTCTGGCTTCTCTGGACACTGCCGTTGGCTCGGGTGAGGGTAGGGCTCCCATGCTAAGGGACTCATGGGTAGATTGTCGTCCTCAACTGGGCCCTCCAGAGAGGCCTTCTCTGGTAGTGTCAGTGGAGGCCTGAGAAGGTGAACTGCCCCAGGTTGTCTCCCTTCTGCTTTGCAACTCTGGATGGAAGCTGCCCTGGAGAAGCCAAGATAACAAGAGCGGAATGAAGGACGCAAACAGTTCCTGTGCCTGCCGGTTCATGCACCCTGTAGAGGTGGGGGTCATCTGGGCAGAAGGGGCCACCAAGTGCCAGCAGCACAGAGGGGCCACACTTACACTCTGACCACCCCAAATGCCACCTCCTCTTGAAACCTTCCCTGATCACCCTCCCCTTTGCATCTCCCTCTCCAAACGGTCTGTGGGTGGCTCGGCACTTGTCAGCCCCGCTGCTGTCCTGCATTGCAAGGCTGGAAGCCATGAGGAAGACCTTATGACAAAGTCTCTGAAGATGGGAACCGTGAAGAAGGCAGAGTCACTGTCTCAGATCCTTCAAGGCCACCAGGATGACTGGAAACACTGCACAGGCCTGCTCACACACGCTCTCCTATAGACCTATAGCCCGTCTACATCCTTTTGAACTCCCGCCTATATCCTGCCTGCAGCCAGCTTGCACCTCACCCCTCAGCGCATGTGTGATTTTCAGCTGTGTCTTTCCCCTGAATTCATGTTCCCTGGGTCTGCAGACCTGCATCTGTGGCCTTGGTGTGCTCTCATGGCTGGTGTGGCAGCTGCTATGTCCTAAATCTGGGACGGGACCTCTTAGCCTTCATTCCTTTGCCTCCTTCAGTGATTTTTTTTTTAATATTTATTTATTTATTTATTATGTGTACAATATTCTGCCTGTGTGTATGCCTGCAGGCCAGAAGAGGGCACCAGACCCCTTTACAGGTGGTTTGAGCCACCATGTGGTTGCTGGGAATTGAACTCAGGACCTCTGAAAGAACAGGCAATGCTCTTAACCTCTGAGCCATCTCTCCAGCCCCTCCTTCAGTGATTTTTAAGGCACAAGGTCCTCAGCAGTAAATTCCCTTGTGGAGAAATACCCAACAAGGATGCCTCAATTGGCTCATTCCAGTACCAGAAACAGCCTCACACAGGATCCAACACTGGCTGCCCAAGGTAGCAAGGGCGCTCTCTCTCTCTCTCTCTCTTTCCCCGGCAGTGTAGGTTGAGTCATTCTCCCTACAGCTTATGATGAGGGGCTGGAGAGATGGCTAAGACCACCGACTCCTCTAACAGAGAGCCTACGTTCAGTTCCCAGCACCCAGTGGCAGCTCATAACCATCTCTAACACCAGTCCCAGGCAGCCCAATGCTCTGTTATAGATCTGTGGGCACCAGGCACACACGTGCAAGCAGCACACCTCCAAACAAAAAGCCTCATATTCTGAGCCCCGGTACCTCAGAATGTGTCTATTTGAAATAGGACTGTTGCAGGTACAGTTAGGTTGAAGCAAGCCTTAATCCAACGTGATGATGTCTTTATAAACAGGATTTGGACACAGACACAGGGGGATGTGCTGTGAAGGCGGAGGCAGAGATTGGGTGACATCCTGCCAGCCAAGCAGCCAAGGATCACAGTGTGCTGCCTCTGGAAGCCAGGGAAAGTCTGGTGTGGCCTCCCACATAGCTGTCAGAGAGATTTGCCCCCTTTATTCCTCTGACTCTCTCATGATCGTGGTGTTTCTGATCCTAGGGCACCTACTTCCCACCCTGCCCAGCCTGGCATTCAGTTACACCCTGGTCACTGCCTGGGATGGAGTCTTTCTGGAAAGCATATTTGGGTGACCGAGGAACAGCTCCGAACAGCACCAGGGTGGAGATCAGAGGTGTGGGGTGGGATGCTGATGTCTGCCAGCACCAGGAAGATTACATTTTTAGCATGACATACAAGGGGTTTTAAATTCTCAGTTCAAGGCAGAGTGAGAAAGCCAGGAAACACGTGGGATTGCTGGGAGAGAAAACCAGGTTTCCTGTGGCGGGGCTGCTGTGCCCGCAGATCGTAGGCAGGCTCTACCCTGCAGGGCGCAGGATTACAAGGTAAATTGAATTCTCAGCCTCTGCAGGTCATCTGAGCAGAAAACCAGAAAGCACCCGGATGAAGAGAATAGAGGGGCTGTTACTGACCTCTCTCCACAGAGCGCCGTCACACCAGAAGCCCTTCACCTATGTACACAGCTCCCTTGCTTTCAGGCCATACCTGTGGCAGGAACTCATTCTGGAGCTTGTCACCCCTTGCCACCTCCAGACCTGATGGAAATGAGAGCTAGCTGGATCCTGTCACGTGTCTGCGTGCGCGCACACACACACACATACAGAGAGAGAGAGAGACGGCTTTGCTATCTGGCTGGATAATATTGGGGAGACAGACTCAGAGACCACACAAGCACAGTCATTGGCTCTCTGGATTTATGCTGCTGCCCTTGCCTTGCACTCCAGTATTAGCTTCCCTGTCTGTGAAAAGCCTAGGCGGTTTACTTGTCTATGGCTGTGCTGTTGACTGTGCTTCCCTGAGCTGTGTCAGCTCCTTCATAGCAGGAACACACACACCCAGGCTGGGGGTGCTCTGGGGGGGAAGGTATTCTAAAGTCAGGCCGTCGGGAGGAAGCCGCTCTGCATTTACTCCTCTCCCCAGGGTGCAGCTATGTTCGTGCTTTTGCATCTTTCAAACAAAAGCCCGTCAGAAACAACACAGGGCAAGACAGGTTGATGTGGGCTCACAGTTTCAGGAGATTGCACTTTGCCCTGCAGGAGGCACTGCAGAGCAGCTCTGGCCACAGCAGCAGGAGTGGGAGGCAGCAGCTGTGCACATTGGGGTGGCCCAGGAGCCAGAGGCCTGTCACTAGTGAGCTACTTTTGCCAGCTAGGTGCCAACGTCTATAGGTTCCATAATCCACCTCCCCATCACTGCCTGGTACTAAATAGGAAATGAGTGTTCAAGCACATGAGCTCCCCAGGATCGTTCATAGTCCCATCATGGCAACACCTTTCATAGAAGACAGAGAGGCTTACCAGTGAGGAACCTCACAGACCAGAGATGAAGGTGGGTGATGGATCCTTGACTTCTCAGGAACCTGGGATACCAAAGGCTGAGAAACCCAGGCAAGGTGGGTACAGTTACCACAAAGGATGCCAAGCCTAGAGCAGCAGGCAGAACAAAGGGGGCTGGGACAATCTCTAGTCCATGTAAACGTCTTAGAGCGGAGGATGAGCCCCAAAAAAGGCCAGCTGGGGCCAACCAGACACAAACTATCTTCTATGTTTCTGGTTGTGAGCCTAGCCTTCCACAACTGAGCCATCTCTCCAGCCTGACACCAAATACCTCAATGACAGGCTGGGGAGATGGCCCCGGGGAGAAGCGTGTGTCCTGAGAGCTTGACTACTTGAATTCAGATCCCCAAACCCATGAGGCATCTGTAAGCCCAGCACCCCAAAGGAGAGATGGGGAGCGGAAACAGGAGCTCTCCGGAAGCCTGTGAGCCAGCAAACCTGGTGCACCTAATGAGCCAAAGATCCTGTCTCCAGCAAGGTGAAGCAGGACCTGAGGGTGTCCCTGACCTCTCCATGTACAGGCACCTGCGCTCACATGAACACACACATGCTTTAAAAAAAAATTAAAAAGTAAAGTACTTCAGTGGAAAGCCAGGAACTCTCACCTGATTCCCAGTGCAGCCAGAGCCTGCGCAGCACAGGACAGCCGGTAACGAGCTATTCGAGTGTTGTTCATGTCCTCCCTTAGCCTTCCCTCTGCCTTCTCAAGGCACCTACGAGCGCCATTACAGTTGTCGGTAACAAAAGTGAGTCAAACAGCCATGGTTCCTTCTCCTCACCGTGCTGGATTTGCGTGGCGCTTGTCCAGGAAGACCCATCTCTGCCCTGCTGACCTCAGCTGAGGTGGAAAACCTGATGGGGCTGAAACATTCCTTCTGACACGCTCAGTGCCATCAGCGTGATCTTGCTTACTTGTGTCTGTGGCTGGAATGAAATAACTACCAGAGATCTGGTCCACGGTTTTGGAAACTTCACCCTGTCATGCTTAACAGCACTGATTTTGAGCCCAGAGTGAAGCAGAGCCTCGTGGTCGCAGGCCCCGTGGAAGAGGATGCTCGCCCGGTACTGGGCAGAGAGCAGAGAAGCGAGCAGAGACGCAAGCACTGGCCAGGGACCAGGTATAACCAGAGAGAGGCACACTCCGGCATCCTTCCTGCAGCAGCTTAGCCTGACTTTCTAACGTTTCCACGACCTCCCCAAAGGGCGCAGCTGGGGAGTATTGTAAGGGACGTTTCTCATGCAAACCATGACAAGTCCTGACTGGATTCTTTTCCAGACTTGGCAGCCCCTTCTGTCTCGATGGCTAAGCTTCAGGAACAAGCATTCAGAGGTACCAGAAAGGAACTTTCTACATCTGTGACCTGGACTGAGAAGCATCGCGATGGCTCTAATCATGGACTCACTGGGAGTGTGGTTACTTCTTTTCAGAAAGTCCCTTCTGAGTCAGCTTTGTGAGGATGTAGCTGGGCCCTGGAAAAACTTCTCCGGTGAGTGCAAGCTTGGGCTCTGTCAGCAGAGGGCGCTGGAACTGCGGGAAGGCCTGGAGGGGCAGGGCTTTCCTTTCTCTTGTTTGCGTGGGGCAGGGGGCAGCTCTTCCTATGCCTTTCAAGCGCTCTGTATCTGAAGCCCCAACCCTCCTTCCTCCAGCCCTGCAGACCCGGGTGGACTCTCTTCAGAGACCCCCACCCTTGCTGGTGGCTTCTTGCTGACCCCTCTGCCGTCCTACCCCCAGCAATGCCTTCAGCTGTCTGGTGGGAGCTCCTGGTCCGCATGCCCCTTTCTGAGTTTCGTCACTAGCCAGCACCTCTCCCCTCAAGTAATCCTACTTTCCTCCTTGCCAGACTCCTCACCAAAGACAGCCACCACCCTCCAGCAGAGTCTCCCCAGCCGGGGCCACTCAGCAACTTTCCGCGGTCATTTTCTTGGCATTTGCTACTCCTGCACTTCTGAAGTTTTTGTGTGCCCTTTGGCTGAATGTCTAACAGCCCAGGTGACCAGTACAGCTTCTGTCTCCTTCTGGGACTGTACAGAGTGTCCTCACAGGAGCAATCCTGGAGATGTGTCTTCCCCCATGGGCTTACAGTATACTCTGGGCCTTGGCACTGGCCTCGAATATTTCACCAAGCTCCTTGCCTATGGGAAATGGTGTTCCTGTCCATGGCCCATGGGCATTGCCTTAAAGGAAGCTGCTTCCACCGCCTGGTGGTGATAAAGGGCCTCTTAACACGACAAGGGGTCCAAGTAACTGCTGCATGCCACCCTGGTGCAGAGAACCCCTCAGTGCACTGGGAGATTCACAGTGGTCACCAGGGAGCTCAACTCCAAATTCCTCAGCTCCCTGCCCCCCCCCCCCCGAGGGGCGCACACACCTCTCATGGCCACAGGACCAGCACTGTTGTATCAGAGCCTCTGATTTTGTGCACACCACACAATCACAAGTCTAGCTGAACCTGAACCTGGCCACAGGAATTCCTTCTAGAGAGTTGGGTCTGGGTTGTAGTTCAGTGGTGGATCACTTCCTGACACAGAGATCCCAGGTCCTGTCCTGGCACCAGAAGGGGAAAGTTAGGACCCTGATGGAAAAGCAGGAATCCAAGTCAAGTGAACCCTCTCCCGCCCAACAGATTTGGGGGTGACCAAGGGACCTGGAGTCCCACATTTAGGGATCTTTTTATGCGCCCAGCCGTGGCAAGTTGTCAGGAGTTCCCATCCTCCTGGAGGACCTCTGCAGCCACCTTTTGTTCCCATGAAGCTTGTAGTTAGGTCCCAGGGTCCATGGTGTGACTGGCAGGAAATGGCTTGGCGCTGGAATTGGAGACACTTCTCTTGTAATAAACAAACAGAGATGGGTGTGGCAGCCCTTGCCCTTCAAATCCCAACACTCGGGAGCTGCAGCAGGAGGATCACTATGAGTCTAAGGCCTTCTTCAGTCACAGAGCAAAATGTAGCCTCAAAACTTAAAAAGGAACAAATACTAAATGGTTTATGTTTTGGGAGGACACCAGGTTTCTGTCCACTGCTTTCCTGTTCTTCTGGTCCTCTGCCACCTTCGTGGGGTGTGTGTGTGTGTGTGTGTGTGTGTGTGTGTGTGTGTGTGTTTCTTAGTCAGGGTTTCTATTGTTGTGACGAAACACCATAACCAAAAGCAAATTGGAGAAGAAAGGGTCTACTTGACTTACTACATCATAATCCATCACTGAAGAAAGTCAGGACAGGAACTCAGAGGGAAACCTGGAGGCAGGAACTGATGCAGAGGCCATGGAAGGATGCTGCTTACTGACTTGCTCCTCATGACTGGCTCAGCGTGCTTTCTTGTAGAACCCAGGACCACCAGCCCAGGGATGGTCCTGCCCACAATGGGCTGTGCCATCCCTCATCAATCACTAATTAAGAAAATGCCGTACAACCAGGTCTTTTTCTTTTATCTTTTCTTTCTTCTTGAGACAAGGTTTCTCTGTGTAGTCTTGGCTGTTTGGCTGTCCTGGAACTCGCGCTGTAGAGCAGGCTGGCTTCTAACTCACAGAGATCCACCTGTCTCTGCCTCCTCAGTGCTGGGATTAAAGGCGTACATCACCACCGCCAGGCTTAACAGCCGGATCTTAATGGAGCATTATCTCGACTGAGGCTCCCTCTTTTCAGGTGGCACAAACATGTGTCAAGTTGACATTAAACTAGCCACATCTTTAGCCCTAGCACTTAGGAGGCAGAGGCAGGTGGATCTCTGTGAGTTCAAGGCCAGTCTGGTCTACAGAGCAAGTTCCAGGACAACCAGAGCTACAAAGCAAAATCTTGTCTCAAAATAAATAAGTAAAAAAAAAAAAATATTCTCTTAACTTGCAGGCTGTACAAAAAAAAAAAAAGGGTGTCTCCAAGCCGATTTTGGCTCATAGGCCATAGCTGCTAAACCCTGGTTTCTACACAGCAAGAATTCAGACATTTTCAGCTCTGTGCTGGCAGAGACTCGGGAGGATGTGTGGAAGAGCTCCCAGAGTGTTAGACAGAGGAGGCTGAAGTAGAACCCTAGCCGGTCACACCCCTAGCTACACTGCGCATTCAGCCAGGACTGGGACCGTCAGCCCTGTTCCTTGACAGACTGGACCTCAGCTAGCGACTCTGGACTGTCAGGACATCCTAGCGCAGAGTAGACAAGACTGGACAGAGAAGCTGGGCATGGAGGTGCGCCAAAGCCAAAGTTGTCTGGGTCTGCCCAGCAAGTTCCAGGCCAACCAGGACCACATAGTGAGACCCCATCTCAAAAAAAAGTGTAAGAAGAGCCTCACGGAGGTGGGACTACTCCGGCATGCATGTCACCTCTCTCCCAGACCCCAGCGCCTGGTCTCCACTAGGCACTGAGAACTGCACAACTGGGAAGCTCCAGGCTCCTAGAAAGGTCCACCAGCGCTGCCTTTGATAGGAATGTTGACCACAGGGACAGGGACTGTTACTGAGATGTCATGGGGCCAGTGGCCCACAGAACAATGGAGACGAAGATGCAATAGCCAGCCATCAAAGCCATTGGCTGAGCCCAAAAAGGGCCTCTGAGAATGTGCTGGCGTGTATAGTGCCCTGGCATACAGGGCTCCTGTCCTGGCTAGATGGAGGGCCCCTGGGAGTGAAAAGCAAGCAAGACCCCAGCCCCCTAGAAACTGCTCCTAAAATAACAGAAGGAGCTAGTATCCTACTGTAGCCAGAGGCCCAGGTCATCACCACAGACTTGGCCTCTCCTGCTGTTCTTTTCCAGGCAAAGCCAAGTCAAGACTGGGAGTCTTTTCTGGGTGAACAATCACAAGAGTCACGGCAGGAACATCAGAAAGACCCCTCCAAACCTTTTGTGCTTTTTTTCCTGAAGGAACTGTGTGTGGGGGTGGTGGTGGGGAGAATGCAGGCAGTTCAGGAATCCCAAGGTGCTGCGGGAGGAAGGGGTAGTCACCAGATTTACATAATCAGTGATGTGTGGAACCTGAGGCCAAGACTGAGCCCAAAGTTCAGAAAGGCATAAATGGACGGGAATGCTTAGCAACCGGCACAGCGCCTTGTACTGCTTTCTCCTGGCCAAGACAATAAATTCAGGCCAACCGTGCAGCCTTGGTGTCTGTAGGGGTGCAGAGCCCCAGGCATGAGTGTCTTCGCACCCCAGTTAACTCACCGAGGGGCTACAGAGGGCAGATGGGCTCAGAATTCCTGGGGTTACGGCGTCCGTCCCAGCAGCAGGGCTAATTCATCGTTAGCCCAAGACCCCAGGAATGAAAGTAGAGACCCTGTATTGTTTCCCGAACCCTGACCACAGCGAGAAGACTAAGGGACAAAGGTTACAGCGACGAATGGCAGGTGCACGCCGGTGCACGGCCTCTTAGCAAGACTTGTGGATCCAAAACATTGGGTGGAGGGTTCGCAAATTCAGCATTTTCTGTTCAGGGACCAACAGGGTCGGGGCGTTGGTTGGGCGTTTCCGAAGGTCGGGAAGCCTGGTTTAGGCTCACCCGTCTGAGGTGCACTGAATTAATCAAAGATCCCATTTGATTAGCTAAAAGGGCGAGGCAGGGCGTTCGCGACGCCGGGAAAAATCGAGCCAGGCGGAGCGCGCGCTCTAAAGAGGAAGCTGCTTCGCGTTCTGCAGCGCG